ACTGGAGGGAGGCCAGGGAGGTGGCCGATGCTTCGATAGCCATGAGAAGCTTGTCCTTTAGTTGAGTGGCTGAGGTGACACTGTAGCCTAGGGTGCCACTACCGCCACCAGAGAGGATGAGAACTGAGTTGTTCTGTTGCTTCAGAGATGATGCGGGTATAGGACCGGAATATTAGCCATGTTCCCTGAGGGTGGTTCCAGGTATAATCTTCACAGACTTTACTGGACACTCCTGCATGCCAATGGCTGTGCCAGGGGTCGCGGATGTTGAGGGCTAAGGAACCATTGCTGAAGCGAGTGAGCATGCAGTTGGGATTGCTTGAATGCTGTGGCTTGTGAATAACACAAGAATGTGTGGGATGAGGATAGAGACAGTTGACTGACAGCTGCCTGTTTGGCAGTTTGCCTGTGCAAGATAATGGGTCCTGGTGGTGGGTCCCTCAGTCCAGGATTCCTGGGTTGCAAGGATCCTGGTTTGAGTTCTTGGAGGAGAACGCTGTTGCCTGGTTGGAGAGGAGTCACTGGATGGGAGTCCTCTGGTCCTCAATAGCAAGTTTGGCCACTACAGGCTTGGAGGTATCCCATACCAGGGGATTAACTACGTCAGGAGGGATAGGGGGTTGGGGTGAGGAGTTAAGACAGGGTGTGGCGTTGGTTAGGAGTGGCAGTAGGAGGTGGGCAGATGATGGGCTTGAGTGTGGGGGACCAGTGAGTTGGAGAGTGGCCCCACAGTCTGGAGAATGTCTCGTCCTAAAAGGGGGACTGGGCACAAGGGTATAATTTAAAAAGAGTGGGAAAAGGGGTGTCCCTCGAGGACACAGGCTAAAGGATGGGTTTGATTAAGACAGGAAGGCTTTCCGTCAATTCCCATGACTGAAACCTGGGAAGGTATGCTAGGTTCTGAGTAGGAAGGCAATACAGAATAGGTAGCCCCAGTGTCCACTAAGAAGGAAATGGACTTAACTGCTATGTGCAGCGGTACCCTGGGCTCAGCAAGGGTGATGGGGGTCTTCGAGTCCAGGCTGCATCAGTTGTCCAGAAGGCCAAGAAGTTCAAGCAATGGGATTGCTTCCTGCGGACCGGCCTGCCCTCCACATAGAGGTGCAGGGGGTGGGCCTGTAGTCTGGAAGGGGCAATTGCTGCGCCAGTGTCCAAGCTGCTTGCAGTCCAGGCAGGTCTTGATAGGTGGTCGGGAACATGGACACTGACATGCCCAGTGTCCCTCCTGACCGCACTTGAAACAGGGCCCAGGCAGAACACCTCTGGAGTTCTTGGCAGGTTTTGATGGACCCCCTCCACCAGGTGCCTGGTGGGCTGCCGGCCTCAGGGTTGCCACAAGAACTTGGGTTTGGAGGCTTACCTTTTGCTGTAGATGGGCCTGGTGGGTGGCGTCAGCCTTTTCCTCTCGGCTATTAAAAACTTTAAATGCCATGTTTACCAGGTCTCGTATGGGAGTTTGGGGGCCCTCCTCAGCCTTTTTAAGTTTCTTTCTAATGTATTCAGCTGCTGACTGAGAGAGAAATGGGTGGCTAGGACTGTAGCTCCCAGTAAAGAGACCAGGTCCAGCCGGGTATGAAGGATCACAGCATTAGTTAATTGGTCGAGGAAGGTGGTGGGGTTTTGAATAGGACCCTGAGTTATTTCCCTTAACTTATCATAATTAACTAACTTTTGGGCTGCACTTTGCATGCCCATTAGGAGGCACTGTAGCATTTGGTCTTGGCGGCAGCAACCATCTTGACCAGTTTGATAGCTCCAATTAGGGTCGGCCTCAGGGACCGCTGCCACACCTACTGGCATTTGATTGTCTGTGAGATGTACCTGATCAGCATGCGCTCGGGCCGCTGTAAGGATGCAGTCACACTCATCTGGGGTGAGGTTGGAGGACAGAATCACATAGGTATCATGCCAGGTGAGGTCGTAAGCCTGGGTGAAGTAGCGGAATTCTTTGGTGTAAGCAGTAGGATTGGTGGCACATGACCCTAGACGTTTCTTAATGGCTGACAGATAAAAGAGGAAGAAGGGAACATGTACACGAACAATGCCTTCTGCTCTGGTGACCTCACAAAAAGGGCAAAGGAGGGAGGTTTCATTGTTAGGAGCACAGTGTGAGTGGGTGTGAGCACTGACAGGAGAGGCTAGGTTGGGACTAGGAAGAGGAGGAGCTGGAGGGGGTTGAGGTTCTGCATATGGCGGAGGGTTTGTGGGTTGGTGGGGCATGGAAAGGAGAGTTCTTTGGGTGGGTCAGGGTCAGAAAAGGAGGAGGATGGTGGAGGGGCCGAGGGCGGTGAGGGATTTTCTTTGGCCAGGAGCACCTGAGCGGTGGTGCAAGAGGAACAGAGGGTGGGGCGGGAGTGAACATACCAGAAGGCCTGAACATAGGGGACCTCGGACCATTTACCATTTCTTTGACAGAAATTGTCTAAATAGGTTAGAATGCCAAGATTGAAAGTTCCCTCTGGTGGCCACTTGGACTGGTTGTCCAGAGGATACTGGGGCCAGGCCACAGTGGAGAGGAAAAGCAGCCTTTTCTTTTTTGTGGAGAGGCCCAGCTTGGGTATTTTGGACTAGACATCCCAATGGCAACTTGTGTTCTAGGTGGGACTCCTGATTACCCATAGTCCATCCTCTGTCACAGAGTAGTCAGGAGTGAGGAACAGCATCCTGGACCTCAACACCTGAGTACCGGAGATTATGGGGAAGGACTGGAGTATAGGGACATCTCCACAATATTCCTGTCTTCCGGGACGGGCGAGCCGGGGCACCGGGACTTCTCTTCGAGACCCACAGCTCGAGATGGAAAGGAGTCCCTGACATGGCAACGATTACGAACAGGGTACCCCAAGGTTCGGAGCAAACAGAGGATGGGGTTATGGGCAATAGAAGTCTTACTGAGTGATGGCTGCAGATGATTGGAGGGGCAGCAGCTCCTTGGTTCAGCTTATGGTAAAGGAGTCAGTTTCCCCCAGGAGGGGTCTTGAACTCCTCCCAGGTTTCAGCACCACTTGTAAGGGTTATTGCCGAGTTTAAAATGAGGAAACTGAGGCCAGTATAAGAAAATTAAATGCCAATTTATTCACCTCCCAGGCGAGGTCCTATGGTCTGGGGAAAGGGGGCCAGAGAAGTCGCATTGACTTCCTGGGGCATGGGGTTTTTAGGGCTATGAGGAACGAGCAACAGCTGGGTGCTCTGATTGGCTCCAGGGGAGTGGGATTGGGGTGGGGTGGGCTGCCATTGGTTGGTGGGTTGGTGGGCGGGTTTTCCAGTGCGAGAGCCTAGAAGCACTTTGCGGCTTCTAGAAGCTGCCCACTTTCCTTGGCTTGTGGTCCCTTTCTTCATCTTAAGGGCAGCAGCCTTGGGCTAAGTCCTTCACAGGCTGCCATGTCCAATTCTCCCTTTCATGCCTCTGTCTTCTACTTTTAAGGACTCTCGTGGTTACACTGGACCCATCCAGGTAATCCAGGATAATCTCCCTGTGTTAAAGTCATATGGTTAGCAACCTCAACTCCCTCTTGCCATAACCTAACAAATTCACAGGTTCTGGGGGATTAGAAGATAGACATCACACGGTGGGGGCAGTTATCTCACCTACCACAGGATCTTTGTTTATTTCCAGTGTTCTAAAATTTCATGAAAACATGTCTTGATGATAAGTAATTTTTTTTTTCTTTTTCATGCATTCACTGTGCTAAGTAATCGGTGAGCCTTTCATTCTAGAAACTCATATTCTTCAGTCCTGGAGGTTTTCTTGCATTTCTTCATTGAAAACTTCTGTCTATTTTCTTTTTCGCTTCCGTAACCTGCCCCCAGAGCTCTTATTAGCCAGAAACTGAACCTCCTGGTCTGTGTCGCTCATTCTGTTATTTGATTCCATACCACCTATTTCTTTATCTTTTTATTCTACCTTTAATGGAAGAGTTACACAATTTTATCTTCTATTGAATTAAAAAGTTTTGCTATGAAAATGGTATTTCCAAAAGCTCTTTCTAAAATAAATTAGCTGGGCACAGACATACCTGCCTGTAGTCCTAGCTACTTCGGAAGGTGAAGCAGGAGGCTCCCTTAAGCACAGGAGTTCTAGTCCAGCCTGGGCAACACAGTGAGACTCCTGTCTCTAAAATAAATAAGTAGGCCAGGTGCAGTGGCTCACACCTGTAATCCCAGAACTTTGGAAGGCTGAGGTCGGTGGATCACCTGAGTTCAGGAGTTTGAGACCAGCCTAGCCAACATAGTGAAACCCCATCTCTACTAAAAATAGAAAAATTAGCCAGGTGTGGTGGCAGGCACCTGTAATCCCAGCTACTTGGGAGGCTGGGGCAGGATAATCGCTTGAATCCAGGAAGAGGAGGTTGCAATGAGCCAAGATGACATTATTATACTCCAGCTTGGATGACAGAGAGAGACTCCATCTCAAAAAAAAAAAAAAAAAGAATAAATGAATGAAAAGATAAAAAATAAGTTCCCTCTTGACAGAGTGGTGAGAACTCCTTGACTAATGGCTGTAGGGACTTTCTGTAAAAATTCCAGAGGCCAAGTCGAAGAAATGGGGGTGAGTTAGCCCTAGAATAAACACTACTCTATATTTACCCCACCCTAAAAGGGCTAAGAAACTAACTACAATAAGTTCAAATGAATTCTCAAGTAAATTAAATGCCTGCAAAGAAAAAAAAAATCCAATACCCTTTCAAGAAACACAACAAAATCTAGCATGCAACAATATAAAATTTGCAATGTCCAGAGTAAAACAAATTACTAGATGTGTGAAGAAGCAGAAAAATATGAACTATAAGTAAGAGAAAAATCAATCAATAGAAACAAACCCAGAAATGATGGAGATGATAGAATTAGCAGACCAGGGCATTAAAATAGCTATGATATATTCCCTATGCTCAAGGATGTAAGGGAAATAAACACATAAGCAAAGAAATGGAAGCCATAAAATAATATCCGAGCAGAACTTCTAGGGATTAAAAAGATAGTTTTTTTTTTTTTTTAATCAGTCTCTGTAGAGACTGTCAAAAATTGCCAGTGCCGACCATGTTGCAAATCGTCATGGCGGGGTATTGGGAAAAGTTTTCAATTAGCAATATTGTCCCTCGGATTAACCTCATTGGCTACGATACTGCCACTGTGCAAAGCTAAAAAAAGACAGTTTCTTTCTTTCCCTTTCTCTCTTTCTTTTCTCTCTCCCTCCCTCCCTTCTTTTCTCTCTTCTTTCTCTTCTCCTTTCTTTCTTTTCTTTTCTTCCTTTTTTTTTTCAATGTCTAGCTCTATTGCCCAAGCTGGAGTGCAGTGATATAATCAGCTGACTACAACTTCTGACTCCCAGACTCAAGCCATCCTCCCACCCCCAAGGTATCCTCCCACCCAAGCCTCCTGAGTAGCTGAGACTACAGGCATGCACCACCTGATCCGGCTAATTTTTGTTTTTCTTTTGTTTGTTTGTTTTAGTAGAGACAGGGTTTCACCATGATGCCTAGGCTGGTCTCAAACTCCTCAGCTCAGGCAATCCACCAGCCTCAACCTCCCAAAGTGCTAGGATTACAGGTGTGAGCAACTGCACCTGGACAGGATTTCAAATTAAGGAAAATGAAGACAATTTGTTGCCACCAGCCTTATACTACAAGAAATGTTGATGGAAGTTCTTCAAGCTGGCAGAAAAATTACACCAGAAGGAAGCTCATATCATCAGGAATAAATGAAGAGCATCAAGATGGTACCTACATAAGTAAATATAAGTAACTATTTTTCTATTAGTTAAAAAAATACAGTCAGTTGTCCCTATTTGTGAGTTCCACATATGAGGATTCAACCAACCTCAAGTCGAAAATATTTGGAAAAAAATAAAACTACAACAATTGTTAAATTATACATTTAAAAATACAGTATAATAATTACATAGCATTTACATTGTGTAGGTGTTATAAGTAATCTAGAGATGATTTAAAGTTAAAATACAGAAAGATTAAAATACAGAAAGATGTGTGTAGGTTACATGCAAATATTATACCATTTTACATAAAGAGCTTGAGAATCCTTGGATTTTGGTGTTCATAGAGGCTCCTGGAATCAAGCTCTCATGGATACTAAGGGGCGATGGTACATAACAGAAAGTCAGGTGGTAAATGGACCTAGTTACAAGGTTTCTATATTTTTTCATTACATTCTACTGTATTACTTCTTAAGTAGACTGAGAAACATTAAGGCTATATTTGTCAGTCCTAGTATGACCACTGAAATCATAATGCAAAAAGAAATATAGCTAAAAACCCCATGGATACAGTAAAATGGAACTCTAAAAAAAATTCAAATAATTCAAAAAAGGAAGAGACCAAAATGTGTATAGGCTGTATGATTTCCTTTATATAAAATGGGACTAACCGGGCACAGTGGCTCACACCTGTAATCCCAGCACTTTGGGAGGCCAAGGCAAGCGGATCACTTGAATTCAGGAGTTTGAGACCACCCTGGCCAATATAGTGAAACCATGTCTCTACTAAAAATATGAAAATTAGCTGGGCATGGTGGCAGGCACCTGTGGTCCTAGCTGTTCGGGAGGCTGAGCCAGGAAAATTGAACCTGGGAGGTGGAGGTTGCAGTGAACCAAGATCATGCCATAGCACCGCAGCCTGGGTGATGAGGGAGGAGGAGGGGGAGGGGGAGAGGGAAGCGGTGGAGGGGGAGGAGTTACTACTTGATGATATGCTAAACAAGAGGTAAATTATTCATGTTTCCTCTTTTTAGACCATATAGGGTAACTTCCTGACGTTGCCATGGCATTTGTAAACTGTCATGGTGCTGGTGGGATTGTAGCAGTGAGGACAACCAGAGTTTATTGAGGGTTTTTAGCATAAAGGGCTGTTGAATTTTGTCAAATGCCTTCTCTGTGTCAATTGAGATAATCATGTGGTTTTTGTTTTTGGTTCTGTTTATGTGGTGAATTACGTTTATAGACTTGCGTATGTTGAACCAGACTTGCATCCCCGGGATGAATCCTACTTGATCATGGTGAATAAGTTTTTTGATTTGCTGTTGCATTCGGCTTGCCAATATTTTATTGAAGATTTTTGCATCTATGTTCATCATGGATATTGGCCTGAAGTTTTCTTTTCTCGTTGGGTCTCTGCCGGGTTTTGGTATCAGGATGATGTTGGTCTCATAAAATGATTTGGGAAGGATTCCCTCTTTTTGGATTGTTTGAAATAGTTTTAGAAGGAATGGTACCAGCTCCTCTTTGTGTGTCTGGTAGAATTCGGCCTGTGAACCCGTCTAGACCTGGGCTTTTTTTTGTGTGGTAGGCTCTTAATTGCTGCCTCGACTTCTGACCTTGTTATTGATTCTATTATTGAATGTCCCTCAATTTAGGTTTGCCTGAATTACTTGTGATTAAATTCATTTTCGGTGGTGGGCAGGATAATGCCCTCCCCCTACCACAAAGATGTTCACATCTGTATCTCTGAAATCTGTAAATATGTCAGATTATATGGCAAGGAGTAATTAAGGTTGAGGAGGGAATTAAGGTGAAATCTGGAATTAAGGTTGCTAGTTGCTGGTATGGATAGATTAACCCAGATTATCATGGCAGGCCCAATACAATCACAGGAGTCCTCATACATGGAAGGGGGAAGCAGAAGAGACAGAACTAGAGAGACAGCAGCAGCTTGAGGACTCAGCCTGACATTGCTGGCTTTGAAAATGGAGGAATGGGGCCATGAGCCAGGAATTATGGGAGGGCTCTGGAAGAAAAGGCAAGGAAATGATTTCTCTCATAGAGCTTCAGGCAGGAACATGGTCCTGCGACACCTTGATTTTAGCCCAGTGAGACTCATTTCAGGCATCTGATTCATGGAAGTACAAGATAATAAATTTGTGTTGATTTAAGCTATTCTGTTTGGAATAATTTGTTACAGCAGCAAAGGCAAACTAATACAGATTTCGATACATGGAAGTGGAGTGCTTCTGTAACAAACACCTGAAAGTGTGGAATTGAGCAGTGAGAAGAGGCTGGAAGAGTTTTGAGGAGTTTGACAGGAAAAACCTGAATTGCCTTAAACGGGGCTGTTAGTAGAAATATGGATATTAATAATTCTGCCAGTCAAGCCCCAGAAGGAAGTGAGGGACATGGTAGAGAAAACATATATCACCTCGGAGAATACCAACATCATCACAAACAAGCTATTGGTAGAAATATGGATATTAAAGATGTTGCTGATGAGGGCTTGTCTTAGTCCATTTTCTGGTGCTATAGCACAGACTGAGTAATGTATAAAGAATAGAAGTCTACTTGGCTCATGTTTCTGGAGGCTAGGAAGTCCAAGACATGGCACTGGCGTCTGCTGAGGGTTATCCTCTGGTAGGAGGCACCACATGGCAAGTGAGCACATGAGACAGGGAGTGGTTTTATCCTTTTACCAGGAGCTCACTCCTACTTTGATTATAGCTAACTACTGTGACTAACTCACTCTCATGATAACACCGTTAATCTCTTCATGAGGGCAGAACTCTGATGACCTAATCAGCTCTTAGAGGTCCCACCTCTTAATACAGTCACAATGGCAAATACATTTTAATGTGAGTTTTGGAGGGAACATTTAAATGACAGCAGGAGTCAATTACTGGAATCAAAGTAAGGGAATCCTTGTTATATAGCGGCAGAAATCTGGGCAGAATTGTGTTCTACAGTCATATGAAGAGCAGACTTTATAAATGATGTGATTGGACATTTAGCTGAGGACATTTCCAACCAATGCATTGAAGATGCAGCTTTGTCTCTTCTTGCTGTTTATAGCAAAATGCAAGAGGGAATAAATCAAATGAGGGGAAAATTGTTAAAGAGGACTGAGAACTTCAATTATTTGGGAATTTCTTAGGCTATTCAGATGGCAAAAGATGTTAAAATTAAGATATTCACTGCTGAAAAAGTATGCTTTATGGGAAAAGCCAAAAGGTGTCTGACAAGCTTTTGTGAATACCTTAGAAAGATTAAAAAAAAAAAAGCATAATTAGTCATATGAGAGGCTCTTTAGGCCAGACACAGTGACTCACATCTGTTATCTCAACACTTCGGGAAGCTGAGGTAGGAGGATCACTTGAACCCAGGTGTTCAAGACCAGTCTGAGCAACAGAGTGAGGCCCTGTCTTAAAAAAAAAAAAAAAAAAAAGCCACATGCCTGATAGTGGCACATATCTGGAGGACTAGATATTTAGGAGGCTGAGGTAGAAGGATCAATTGAGCCCAGGAAGTTGAGGCTACAGTAAGCCCTGATCACACCACTGCACTCCAGCCCGATGGAGTGAGACCCTGTGGCAAAAAAAAGAAAAGAAAACAAATGAAAAAGAAGGTTGTTTAAAGAGTGTGGGATTTATAAATCCTCCCAGCCGTCTCGACAAAAGCCAAACATGGAGAGAAGGTTGTCTTGAAAGGATTTGTGTACAAGCCTCTTATCTAATGGAGTGAATCCCCATGACATTCACCGGAAACCCACTAAGTTCTTGAGAATTTTATTCTAGCAGAAATATTGCCAACTTGGACTGAAAGGAAAAGAGAGGATGAAATGTGAGAAGGCCAGTGGATCCCTAGAATTCTACTGGCAGGAAACAGGCTGGCAAAACCATTCAGCTGCAAACACCAGCTGCGTTTCATGAAAAAGGAAGGATGCCTCAGAGGGCCAAGGTTTGAGTCCAGAGGATGGGGTAGAGCCTTGAATTACAGAGAATCATTACCAGGTCTTGAAAACTAATGTTTGCCAGGGTAGTTTTTGTTTTGTTTTGTTTGTTTCTCTTTTGAGATAGAGCCTCACTCTGTCACCCAGACTAGAATGCAATGGCAAGATCTCAGCTCACTGCAACCTCCACTTCCCAGGCTCAAGTGATCCTCTCACCTCAGCCTCCTGAATAGCTGGACTACAGGCACATGACAGCATGCTAAATTTTTTTTTTTTTTTTTTGTAGAGATGGGGTTTCACCGTGTCGCCAAGCTGGTCTTGAACTCCTGATCTGCGCCCGCCTCAGCCTCCCAAAATGCTGGGATAACAGGTGTGAACCAACACTCCTGGCTTGCCTGGATAGATTTTGAAATTGCATGGGATTGGTGCTTTCTTTTTTCCTTCTGTTTTCTCCCTTTTTTGAATTGGAATGTCT